TACAAGATGTCTTTGTTAAATCTCTCACTGATTTGAAGAAGGCCACATACGTGTCTCTTGAAGCTGTTCTTGGCATACCCAGTCCTTGAGATAGTCCTAAAACCTTGCCTTTGCCTGCAGGCCCCATGAGTGCGTTTGCATTCCAGCCAAATGCCAGCCATTCCCATGGCTCAGGAGCACTTTTACAGTCTGTGCTTCTGGATAATTTCCCCTTTGAAACAGCTTCCATTTTAAAATGGAATGTTTTGGTTCCCTGATGTTAGTGATGCAGATTCTTTTACTCCTTTGGGTGTTCAATGGATGTTAAGTCAAATAGGGAAGCCCCTGGAGGCATATTTGTGAAGGGAGCAGAACAGATGGTGAGTAACTCCCTCCTGGCTGGCACTTCCTTTTTATGATGCACTTTGAAATGCCACCTGTTCCTGATATATCTCTTCTCTCCCTGATGGGGTAAGGGTGGGAGAGAGATTGGAGTCCTCCCTAGCAATTTCTCTGTCACAGACATCTTTAAGTAGAAGCCAGACAGTGATTGTTTTGTTTTTTTAAAATTTTATTTATTTATTTATTTCCCCCCCCCAAAGCCCCAGTAGATAGTTGTATGTCATAGCTGCACATTCTTCTAGTTGCTGTATGTGGGACCCGGCCTCAGCATGGCCGGAAAAGTGGTGCATCGGTGCACGCCCGGGATCCGAACCCGGGCCACCAGCGGAGCGTGCGCACTTAACCGCTAAGCCACGGGGCCGGCCCCAGACAGTGATTGTTAAAGCAACCAGTGGTGATAACAGCCTCACCCAGGCACAAAGAAGAGTATAACTGGGTCAAAGGTGAGGGACAGAAGGCAGGGTGTTGCAACAGCAGCATATTAGAAGCAATAGTAGCACCATTTCTGCTGTAAGGTCATACCATTTCTACCCACAGTTCTTTCTTCACAGTTCTTTTGAGGCTGGAACCCCCTATGCCTTTAACCTTTTCATGGGTTCATTCTCATTTCTTTATCCCCATGTAACTCAGTGTTTAATGGGTAGGGATTTTTACCCCCACTTTCAGATGTAGAAACCAAGGCTCAGACAGGGTAAACTGATCTGCCAAAATCATTGGCAAGTTGGTAATAGAGTGGTGTCTGGGTGTCCACAGGCCTAAGGAAAGGCTTGTGATGCTGTCAGAGGCTATCCCGGGGCTGCTTGACCCAAGCTCCAAGAAGCCTGTCTGTACTGCAGGGTCAAAGCCCAGGCAACTGGCCTGTGAGTTAGGCCAGGGGTGGCACACAGAGTCCCAACAGGCACTGGGAAGGCCCCAGGGCTAGGTGCTCTCTGAGGGCTCCCTTTTCTGCTTGCTCTGCTCTCCTCAGCATGCAGGCCTGTGGCTCTCCAGCCGGGCTCTCCCTTGCTTCCCAGGTTCTGTCCTTGCCCTAAGGTGTCTCAGAGGTAGACCCTGGGTCCACTGCAGAGACTGACACTTTCTCAGGACACAATGTCTTGGGGAGGGGGGTGGCTCACAGGTGCAGAAACAGGTGGCCCGGGAATTAACTGCTCCCTGGAGTATGGATACTTATTAAAATAGACCAAACCTCTTGGACCAAAGGCAGTAGCCTCATGGGAGAGGGATTATGGAAGCTGAAGAACAGCTTGGGTGAGGGCAGAGAAAACATAGCCCACTTCTCTAATCCCTCCTGCCCACTAGAGGCTCATGAATACTTCTAAGGCAAAATAGAAACTGATGGTGATAGATACTAAATGAGCTGGGAGGACTGGACCAGGAGGGCTGGCATACACAGGTGGTCAGGGGACCAACAGGTCCCTGGAGATAGGTGGGGGACTAGAGTGGCTTAGAGAAGCAGCCCCTTTGGGCAGAGAAGAGGGAGGTGTTCCTGGTGGGGCTGAGTGCCCCCAGTAGGCAGAGGGCATCAGAAGGTGTGTAAACTGGGGGGTCTTGGCCAAGAGCAGGCCTCCAGAGGAGTGTGGGGCAGTTGTTCATCTCCCTTCTTCCTGGAAAGACAGGAAAAATACCTTTTAAATAATAAACCTGTTAAGAGTACATGAAATCTGGGGCCAGCCCAGTGGCACAGTGGTTAAGGGCATGTGCTCCGCTGCGGCAGCCCAGGGTTCGCGGGTTCCGATCCCGGGTGCGCACTGATGCATCGCTTATCAAGCCATGCTGTGGCAGTGTCCCAGATAAAGTAGAGGAAGATGGGCACAGATGTTAGCCCGGGGCCAATCTTCCTCAGCAAAAAAGAGGAGGATTGGCATCGGATGTTAGCTCAGGGCTGATCTTCCTCACACACACAAAAAAAAGAGTACATGAAATCCACTGTTTTCATTGGAAACAGTAATTGGTATCCTACCCATGTTCATTTTCACCAGACACACTGCTGTTGGGCTAAACGTGTGCCCCATGTGTGTTACCCTGCATCCATAGTTGTAAACATCTCTGAGAATTGGCCCCATTATGTCCATGTCTACCTGTGATTGGTGGTGTGGCAGTTTGTGCAAGATGTTGACTGCCTGCTGGGTAGTCAGTAGGACTGGGTTGGAGTTGAACACCCGTTAGGGCTCTGGGACTTCCTCTTCTCTATCACAACCTCTATATTTCTCTTGCTTTTCAGGGTCTCTGCTCTTGGCCTTTTCCATCCACCGTCACTTGCTGTTGGCACCTGTTTCCCAGTTATGCCTGTGGGTTTGGTTGCCACGGGAATCCCCAGCCATGCAGCTGGACAGGCTTGAGTGAAGTCAGTCCTAGGAGGGTAAGGGTAGAAGTTGCAGGACTCAGACCCCTTGTATTCTCTCTTGCTCCAGGGCCCTCTTCTTTGGCCAGCTGAACTTGGCATTCATGAAGGCCCTTGGGACTCCACTTGCTACTGAAGGGTTTCCCAGAAGGAGCAGAGATGGATCCCTGCTCTGGGTACTAGGTGCTAAGGGAGGGGAGCCAAGATAGGCCTGGAGCTGGCTGTCCATCCTTACTCTAAGGCTGGTCTGTGGATATAGGTGAGGAGCAGCTGTGGGGTTCCTGCTTTCTGTGGCCCTCATTCCTTCCAGGTCCAAAGATGCCTTTGAATGCCATGGTTGTTGGATGGGTGGATGGCCAAGCTATGGGGATCTGAAAACAAGCCAGGCAGACCAGCCTGCTTCTGGCAACGGCTGATGGGGGCAACTGGGAGAGCAACTGGAAGAACTCGCCCACACCCAGCTCTGTCGTCAGCCCTGGAGTAGCCTCCCTCTACCTTATGTTGTAATTGAGGTTGGAGTCCTAACTGTACACGTGCCTGTCCCCCTTTAAAACATATAAAACCTGACAGATGGGCAAACTAGGGAGTGGAGTTGTGAATTTGCCTTGCCAAAGTGTTGGTTGTTGGATTGTTTGAAGCAGGGCAGATCCCCAGGTGTGGCGGTGCAATGGGAGTCACACCCAGGTTTCCTGGGTATGTGCTGACTCCTGGAAAACTTGGGAGGGTCGGTCTACTCAAAAGCAGAGAAGTGTTGAGGAACCCTGCCCCTCCAGACTGTCACTGTCTGTCTTTAGTGAAGTCTTCATATTCTGAGATCAGAAGCACAGCTTTGAAGCAACCAATCCTAGTTCTGCAACTGTGAGGTCAGGAGAGCAGTTTCATTGGTTCTGCTTGCTGTGTGGAAATTTATCATTCATTCCTTCAGTAAACCTTCTCTAAGAGTGTGTGATAAGAACCCATCAGGGAACAAGTTGGACACTACTCCTCCCCTTACAAAGTTGATGGTCCAAGTCTCCTTCTAGGGGTCAAGGAGCTTGTCCAGGGAGACATTGCCGTTTGGAATCACAGGCCTATCTGGCCTAGAGCCTAGGTGGCTTCTGCACCAGCGGGGATCCAGGTGCTCCTGCTTCTGTAAGCTGAGTTCCAGCAGCACTGAGCTTCTGGGTGTGTGCCAAGCCAGTGTGAGAGGGCCTAGCGAGGATTTTAATTAATACTGAGTAATTACCAGGTGGAGCTTAACCATCCCAGATGCCTTTCAGGTTCCCAAGCCTACAGTTAGTCACTTTGTGGCTGGGCCCGGCAAGTCGAGGGAGGACTCTGCCTATGCCCACTGGGCCTTTGGTCAGCAGCTAGGCTGTGGCATGGACATCCCAGGAAGTTCTCTATCTTTTTCTATTCCCTTCCAATCTGGTGTCAGTTGGGGGGGTGCAACCTGGGAAAGAGCTTGGTCTCTCCAGTTTACCTGTGCTCCTTTCCCAGGGGCAAAAGAATAGTACCTTGTGGTCTGCTCAACACCATCAAGCAGTGCTGGCCGAGGGCCCAGGGTGAAGTGTGGGGAGGAAAGAGGCATGCAGACCTGGTCCTGGGAATCCTAGTGGGAATACTCAAGAGGAAGAATAGGCACAGAGGTCCTTCCTGTTCTGGGCCTTATTCCCTTTTCTCAAGGCACATGTTTGGCCTAGGAAGCTCTTCTAGGCTTATTTCTCTGTCTGTGGCTCCCAAATTACTATATCATTGAAACTCCTACTACCTACAAGGCCTTCCCGGTTTGACGTCTCACAGACCTCCTGCCAGACTTCTGAGGATCTTATGGTCATTCCACCCAGCGGCCAGGGTGTTCCTGACTCTACCAGGCTTTCTCCCTTGCTGTCCTCTACGGTCAGATGGCGATCTTCCTGTGGTCGGATCCTGCCCAGGCCTCAGAGTCAGCTTGAATGTCACCCCCTAAAGTGGGCCCTCTTGCTGTCCACCACAACCAGAACCACACTGAGGTGGTAATGTGTGTTCTGGCGTCTGGCTCTCTGCTGTGTCCCTGGCGCCTAGTAAGTGCTGGCAAACAGGAAGCTTTTAGCGTGTGTTGAAAGAATAAATGAAAGTCTCCATGACTAGGTGAGAGGCCCTAACGACTCCGCTTAGCAGGGAGACCACTCATTACTTCATTCACAGGTCTCCCTTTGGCGCTACGACCCGGCACTGCCAGGGCGGGCTGGCGGCCCAGCGGCGCACGCGCAGTGAGGGCCGGCGCTCGGCGGGGGCGCGTACGCTCGCGGCCGCGTGCGTCACAACCCGGCCTCCTGCCCCGCCCGTCCCGCCTGCCTGTTCGTCGGTCCTCGCGGCGGCGGCTGCCCAGTGACAGTGGCTGCGAGACCAGGCCGGCCGTAGTAGCATAGGGTCGTGCGGCCCGGAAACGCACACCCCGCCAAAGGACGGCGCGAAGAAGACCCGACCGGTGTCGCGTGTGAGGAGACCTCGCGGGCGCTGGGAGAGAGGCCGGCGTGAGGGAGCGCGGAGGCAGTGGCCACCGGCGGCCGGGCCCCGCCTCTCCTCGCGGCCGCCGCCAGCATGAGCCACATCCAGATCCCGCCGGGGCTCACGGAGCTGCTGCAGGGCTACACCGTGGAGGTGCTGCGGCAGCAGCCGCCCGACCTCGTCGACTTCGCGGTGGACTACTTCACCCGCCTGCGCGAGGCGCGCTCCCAAGCCTCAGTCCCTCCCGCCGCTCCTCCTTCCGGCTCCCAGGATCTAGAGCCCGGCCCTGGCCTTGTAGCCGACGCGAACAGGGACAGCGAGTCGGAGGACGACGAGGACTTTGACGGTAGGTGGCGGGATGGGCCGAGATTCGCGGTGGGGGGACGGAAGGAGCGGTGCAGAGGGTCTCTGGAGGTCTAGAGCGGGGCCTGGGGGGCCAAACGTCGCGCCGCCGGCGGAGCCGACAACCCTGAGCCGGGACCTTGGAGCTCTCGAGCGGAGTTGGTCCGGGCTCCCCGAGCCGCCGGCGTGAGCGGCCCCTCAGTACTCCAAAATTGAGCTCCGCGGTCCGCGAGCCCTCGAGCGCACGGAGTGAGTTGTCAGGTTCAGCCTGGAAGGAAGCGTGCGCGGTTTCGGCACGCTTGGAGGCGCGCAGCCCGCGTCGGCCTCGCCCGAGGAGCCCTCGCCTCTGCTTGAGACCCTTCACCCGGTTTCGTTCCGAAGACAAGAACGTTCACATCTCCTGACTCGTATTTAATAACCAGGACGGTGACTTTGTTTGGAAATAATTCCATTTGTGAAAAGTTATTGTGGAAAACTTTAAGTGTAGGCGAACAGAGAGAAAAGGTGAAATGAATCCCTCTATGCCATCACTCACATTCAACAGTTTAAACATCGGTCACAAATGTTTCATCTATACTTTTTTTTTTTGTTGAAATATTTTAAAGCAAATCCTAGTCAGGTCATTTCACCCCTGCATACTTGAGTATGCATTTCTAAAAATATGGACCCTGGGAATATATATTTTAATTTGGCTAAAACGATTGGATCAGATTTGGTGAGAGTAAACAGTTGTCTTGTTTAGCATATTGGGTGCAGGAAAGAAGACAAGTAATACTTTATACATCTGATTTAAGCAAGGTTGTCAAAAAGCAGTTCCATTTTCCTTGGTTGCTTCATAGGCTTTGTCAGTTTAAAACAGAATTATCCTACTTTTGAACAGCCAAAATTTAACAAAACAATGAAAACTTTTCAGAGACAAAGTTAGAGACATAGTGTTATTAGATCATACTGGGAAAAAAAACCTAGTTCTGAGTTGAATCCACATTCAGGTCACGCTAGCAAGGAGTTAATTGTTGCTCTTTGCTGTTGGAGGTTGTAAGCTTCAGTGTTCTGGATGACTTCCCTAAATTTGTTCATGCTAAGAGTAGGAATTGCTATTTTGTGTTTCTCTTGACATGTTGCAAATTAAATTATGGGTTTTTCATCTTAAACCTGGAAATCAGAAATTGTTATTTTCCAAATCTCTGCCACAGATTTGCTTTGTTGTCTAAGACAAGTTGTCAAACCCATTTGATTTCAGATTTACTTATTTTTAAAATAGGGGACAGTGACAACAATCTCCCAGGATAAATATGTTTTTAAAAGCTTTATTTCAGGAATGACTCCTACATTTGTTTCACTCTTTTTTTTTTTTTTT